GAATCATGTTGATTCGGATGCAGATGATAGGTTGATCGTTTCGAGTGTAGTTGATAGATGGAGTCTGGATATGGCCATTGGTTCATCTCAGGTAGAGATGTTTGGATTGTGTTAATTTGGGGCCATTGGAGGTACTATCAGCCGTAGCCTTGATCGTAATGGTAGAGAAGGGTTGTGAACTCTTCTAGTGGATTGAGTCCTTTGGAGGCTATTTGAGTGAACTACGTTCGGCTTGATTCATTGAGCAAGAGGATACGTAGGCAGTCTTTCAGATGCAGCCGATTTTATTTATTCAGATTAAGGGGAGATCGCGTTTTAGCTTTAGTTTTCGTTCCCGGACTTGTTACGGAACTTTTGGATGATTTGGTGTCGACTCAGTTTTGGTAGAAACATTTGCCGAGGTGGAGAATTGATGAAATGACGAGAGAGTATAGGAAAACAGCAGAAGAATCAGCCAGGCAAACTGGCAGTCGACCGCCGTGGTCGACCGCGAACGTGCACAAAGGCCATTAGGACATGGAGCTGAAGGCGGTCGACCGTGGCGGTTGATTTCGAGGACCCTGTATGTGTTTTTGGTCTCGGGATGAGATTCGGTCGACTTCCGTGGTCGACCGCGTCATGACTGTAATCGATTCTGCTCTCGGGTTTTTGGTTTGGTCGACCGCCGTAGTCGACCGCGAGACCTGCGCGGTCGACCGCAGACTGATTTTGGGCTGGGCTTGGTTTTTGACCCGGTTCGTTTCTGAGTTGATATATAACCCTAAACCTAATTAATTAGGGTTAAGTAAGGACGATTTTGAGCAGTCTTTTGGAGAGGATTGTTGCATCCGATTGTAGGAGATTTGTGAGAGATCTAGAGCTTTGTTTTAGGATTTGATCGGTGAAATTTGTAACTCTATTTGTATTCTCTTGATTTCTAATAGTAAGAACTCCCCCCTCCTTGTCCCGTGGATATAGGCAATTTGTCGAACCACGTAAATCATTTGTTCTTGCTGTAGTTGTGATTTACTTGTTGGTTGTGGTTTATCTTTTGGATTGTTCGTGTCGCTCTTCGAAGCTTCCGCCGCGCTCAACAAGGGATACGGATATAAGTTTCCTTGCCAAAGCACATCCACTATCCCTATTTGCATTCGTGATTCTTAAATACTACGGCTTAAATAAGTGATACATTGATCCATATCTGTTTGTATCCCTCGACTAGGAGTTGCATTTTATTGTTTATTATTATTATTATTATGTTGACAGGATAGTTGTTGAAGTTTTGGTTTCCTTCATTGTCTATGATTAGCCTAGAAAAACTTCTCAATACACCGGATAAATTGTACAAGTGGTGGCGCAAAGAAAGAAAAGGATACCTCGTGTTACTCACATTACGATCTCCTTTTATTTTTTACTGATCAAATGGTTGTCGTTCCTTACGACATCACGCGTCTATTGAAGTCGGTTACTTATGTACTTTCTCTTATCAGCCCACACGCCTACCTCCATGCTTCGTGAGATAATCTCGCTTCATTTTGCATCTATTCTGTTATTTTCGTAATTTACTTTTACTATAAATACACTGTAGTTTTCTTATGTGACCGTGGAATAAGCCCATGTACCTTTTATTTTTTTAAAGTGTGATGACCTTCAATTTGCATTCGCCGAGATCCGAGTTTTATGGCCTAATCCAATATTCGCCTGGAAGCCTGCCTCCCTGGCCCATGTTTTAGACTCTTTTCCATGTTGCTTTTGTTTGTTTGCATGCAAGTAAAAGATAAAAGTGAGAAAGTTACTTTCATTTAATAATTAAGGTGTTTGTTTTCATGTATGTGGTTATGAAAGTAAGATGTAAGAAAGTTGCCACATAAAATTTAATGCAATTTTAACTTCCCTTTAAAAAAGTGGTGAAGTCACATGAAAGTGATAAAAATGTAACTAATTTTATTAAATAATTTTAAATATATTTTCTAATTAATCTTATTTTGCCACATCATCTTCACATTGCACTTTCGATAATAATTTAATTTTAATTAATCTTATTTTGCCACATCATCTTCACATTGCACTTTCGATAATAATTTAATTTTTCAAACAAACAATGTATTTCACTTGCGTGCTGACATGGATGTAAAAGTCATTTGCAAAAAAAAAAAATAACTTACATATTTTAAATTCACTTTTAGATTGCCAAACACCCCCTAAACAACAATGCCATATATCATACTTCCTTTAAAAACACGAGTTCGGGAAAATCTTTTTATGGTCAATATTGCCCTTTACTATTTTAAATATTTCATTTATATCTTAATCTATCCTAATCATAATTATATCATATCCTAATCCTATGTGAACTATTTATAGCTTAACAATTAAAAAAATAATATTAATAATATATATAAAACATCTTGTATTAGTTTGTTAAGATAAAGAAATTATACGTAGCTAACATACTATAATACATAAAGTATTGTAGAAAAACCTAAAAAGTTTTAAAATTAAACAAAATACCCTGAAAAATTTAAAATTACAAAAACTATCTCGACGTCTAAAAACTTAAAACATAAATATGAAATCAAGAAATTAACAGCAGTTTGCAAAGAATTTAAAATTTGTGGTTAACATCTCAATATCTCAAAATTTATAGAAACACTCTCAAAAGTTCAAATTACAAACAAGCACCTAAAATTATAAATTTTTAAAACTTGCAAACAACATAAATAAATTCAAGGGATTACCATAACGCACCTAGAAATTTCTGACATTTCAAACCTTAAAACAACAAACATAAAATTAATAAATTAATAGCATCCTCTAAAGAATTTTAAATTTTAAATTAACACCCTCAATATCCCAATAAATAAAGAAACACTCAAAAATTCAAATTATAAAAAAAGAACCCTAAAATTTTTAAAATTATAAAATTTACAAATAATAAAGGATGAATTAAAGAGATTACTCTCATGCACCTAAAAATTTAAAATTTGTAAAAAATTAAAATTTGCCGAAATTAACCTCAAAGTTACAAAAGTTATAGAAAACACTCTTTTAAAATTTAAAAATCATAAAAAAACTCTAAAATTTTAAAATTTATAACTAGTACACATCAAATCTAAAAACTATTGGTAGACCGTTGAAATTTAAATTTTTTAAAAATTAATCTACAGTTTTAACGATTGCAAAAAGCAGCATCAAAATTTCAGAGTTGTAAGAAATATCATGACATTTAAAAATTACCATCGACACATGAAACATAGAAGTTATAACTACCAAACTTAAAATAGTTTTTTTAAAATGCTCCTAAAGTTTTAAAAATTACAAATCACACCCTCGATGGCAGAGTTCGTCGGAGAGCTGCTGCGGGAGAGTGGTGGTGATGATGGTGGCTGGAGGTGAAGGCGAGGGGA